GTGGAGGTCCCTAAACACTAAGTCTTTTGCAGTCTGACGCTGTTGACCCAGCATTACGAAGAGTTCTTTCTGGGCCTTATCTATGGTCTCTTCCTCTTGTGTAACCCTAGGTGGAAGCCCCAGTTGCAAGAGCTGCTGAAGCTGCCTGCCTTCATGCGGGTCACATCAACAGGAAATATGCTGAGCCATGTGGGCCATACAATCCTGGGCATGAACACAGTCCAGTTGTACATGAAGGTTCCAGGCAGTCGAACACCAGGTAACCTGGTCTGGGGAAGTCAGTAGGAGGACCAGAGTCCTTGTTCTTTGTGGGGTTGGCTAACCTAAGATCTTTGAAGGATTTGAAGAAGAAAAGTGAAAGGCCCTGAGAGCCTGTCTACTCTGTTTGTGGACAAAAATGCCTCATCTGACATACTATCTAGCTTTTACTGGCAAGATGTCCAGTTAAGGGAAAACATATTTCTTTCCATGGCCGTCAGTTTCCTTTTTGGATAGCTCTAATTATTAGAAGCTTTTTCTGATAGTAATCTTACAGTTGCCTTTGAAATGTCCTCATATTGCTTGTTATAGTTTCTTGGGCCACCCCAATTAAGTTTTATAGAGACCTGAAGATAGCTATCATGACCCCCTACATCTGACATTCCCATTTCCTTCACTTTGACCTCATGTAGCATGAACTTTCAGGTTTGTCAGTATTCTTCTCAAAACGTGACGCCCATAAGTGAAGGCAGTCTCCAGACGTGGTCAGCATGGGCCCTTTGTCTGGCATGCCATTTCATGTTGCTGATAGGTATTACACTTGTGGTGCACTGGAGGCAGGTGTCAGCCTGTCTTGGAGAGAGGTCTAGACACAGGATGACTTCTGTTCAAATCTTGCCTCAGGTACTTGGGACCCTGGGCATGTCACAGAGCTTTTTGTGACTTTGGTTTCCTCCTATAAAATGAGGGGGCTGGATTCAGTGAATTTGGGAGGTCCATTCTAGCTCTAAGTTTTGATTTGATGAACTAAAATCCCCAGATGTTTTTCAGATAATTTGTCATCTAGCCATGGATTCCCCATCTTGTGCTTATGAAATCAATTTTTTTTTTATCTCAGCTATCAGACTTTTGCATATTTCTATATTGAATTAAATTTCCTTAGAGTCGTGTCATTGTTTTAGCCTGTTAATAGATATTTTTGGATCCTTTCTCTTACCATCCGGAATATTAACTCCTCCTCTTAGTTTTGTGGCATATGAATTTGATATACGGTTGCTTTATTTAGTTGGGGGGACCCTGGGAAAGGCAGTGATGAGAAAGGCACCCCTCCCCTACTCCTTCAGAGTGAGGAATGGGATCATTGAGGCCATCATGTTGGGAGCTATGTCCTGCACTAGAAGCAATGCTGGGAGGGTCACTGAAGAGATAAAACTCTGGGAATAGACCAGGCCTGTGCAAAAATTAAGAGTTATAAGGAGCCTGCATGACCCTTCCAGTGCTGTTTTCTCGGTAAAATGAGGAGTTTGGATGAAGTGCTTTCCAAGGCCCTTTCCGGCTCTAAATCTGAGAATACTGTGGCCTCTTGGCTTAATATCCTTAATGATCAAGTAGAAATAATGAGCCTTCCTCCTGTGAGGGGTGAAGGAGGCTGTACCATTGCCCTGGCTCACAGCCAGCAGGGTGACTGTTGTCCTCTGCTGCCCCCTAAAGGCCACCAGGAAAACAACAATTTCTGCTCTGTCAACATCAACATTGGTCCTGGAGACTGTGAATGGTTTGCAGTTCATGAGCACTACTGGGAGACCATCAGTGCCTTCTGTGACAGGTGCAGTATGGGGCCAGAGAGCCTACCTCTTTTCCCCTCTTTCTCTCCTGGCTCCTCCCATCCATCTTTCCCTTGGCTTTCCCTGCCCTACCATTCCCAGCAATGGGATGGACCTCTTTTCCTCCAACAGTCTGTGATCTCTTGCAGGCACGGGGTGGACTACCTGACAGGCTCATGGTGGCCAATCCTGGATGACCTCTATGCCTCCAACATCCCCGTGTACCGTTTCGTGCAGCGGCCTGGGGACCTGGTGTGGATTAATGCTGGCACTGTGCACTGGGTGCAGGCCACAGGCTGGTGCAACAACATTGCTTGGAATGTGGGGCCTCTCACAGGTGAGAGCTGGGGGGCCAGGGAGCTGAAGAACTGGAGTTCAGTGGGCCTGGCTCCCTGGGTCACCCCCTTCCCCTTCTCCTAGCCTATCAGTACCAGCTGGCCTTGGAGCGCTATGAATGGAATGAGGTGAAGAATGTCAAATCCATTGTGCCCATGATCCATGTGTCCTGGAACGTTGCCCGAACCGTCAAAGTCAGTGATCCGGACCTGTTCAAGATGATCAAGTGAGGAGGGGACAGATTTGCTGTGATGGGGATCTGGTGCTTGGCTGTACCTTATTTGTTGGACTGTCAAACAGACTGAGTTCTCACTGTGTGCCGGGAATGGTCAGGGGCATGTGTGGGTAAATCAAATACCCTTGCTGTGCTCAAGTAGTTAGTTGACTTTCTGTGTGGTAAACATTATCAAAGAGGCCCAGGCCACAGTAACATGGAGAGTTCTAAAGAGAGCAACTGGAACATGTCAGAGAAGGATGATTTCATGTAGTAGTTTGCACTGGAGTTGGGCTTTGAAGGAGAAGAAGGACTTGTTTCTATGCCTCTTGTCACCCTACCCCTAGATTCTGTCTGCTGCAGTCCATGAAGCATTGCCAGGTGCAGCGGGAGAGCCTGGTGAGGGCTGGAAAGAAGATTGCTTACCAGGGCCGAGTCAAGGATGAGCCTGCCTATTATTGCAACGAGTGTGATGTGAGTAGATCCTCCTCCCTCTCCTCGGTCCCCTCCCTCCCATCTCCCTTAACTTCTTCATGGCTACTGTCACGTCACACCTCCTTGCACACACAGGTGGAAGTGTTCAACATCCTGTTTGTGACAAGTGAGAATGGGAGCCGAAACACATACCTGGTGCACTGCGAGAGCTGTGCTCGAAGACGCAGCGGAGGCCTACAAGGGGTCGTAGTGCTAGAGCAGTACAGGACAGAGGAGCTGGCCCAGGCCTATGACGCCTTCACCCTGGTGGGTATTTGGGCTGGAGCTTCCCAAACAAGTCTCCAGCCCTTTCCCCACTAACAGCTGCCTCATCTTTGTTTCACTACAGGCTGGATCCAGCAACTCCCGATGAGGCAGGACACCCCTTCCTAGGGCTGAGAAAATGTCACAGCCCAGTTTCTGCCATCACAGCACAGCCCACACCCCACACCCTGGGGGTTGGGGTAGGGGCCTTCCCAGGGAGAGGGAGGAGCCAGAGCCTGGAGAGGGAGGGGGCAGGGCTGAACCCCTCTCCCACAGGCAGCTCCCCCTCCCTTACTTAATTTATTCAGAAAAGGTTTGGGGGGGGTCTTTTTTGTTTTTGTTTTGTTTTTGTTAAAAAAAAATGAGGGAAAAAAAGAATTCTAAAAAAAGATAGGGGTGGGGGCCAGAGGATTCTTCTCACCAGCCCCACCCCTCCATCCAGCCTTGGCCAGACCCCTGCTTTCCCCCACCAACATTGGCCTTTGTAGTAACAGATAAAAGGAGTGTTGGGGCTCTGGGGAGGATGATGATGGAGGGGTCAGATACGGGTTCCGATTCCCTCACTCCTGTCATGGTCCTCTGGGGTGGGGGTGGGGGATGTGCAGGGCAAGAGTGGGTGAGGTTTTTAACATGACTCTTTGTATGGGCTTTATCCCCATCCCACATCTTCTAGGATTTCCCTTTTGTACTTCGGTTGCTCCCTGTGACCCACCCTAGCCATGCGTGTCTGTCTCTTCTATTTGTTCACTTGGTTATGATTTATATTTTCTATTTTCATTTTTAATTTATAACAGTCCTGCTCTCTATTTATTCAGTTTTGGGGAAACAGGATCTTCCCCTTATCCCCCTTTATTACCACCTTCAGTGCCATCCTCCCTCTTCCTGGGCAGTGGGTTTTAGTAGACTGCTCTCTGCCCTACTCTTCCTCTGTGTTCCCATCTCCCTGTGTCCATTTCTGCCCGCCCGCCCTCCCCCCCTCATGTCCAGCTGTTCCACTGTGTCTCTTTTCCCAATGCTCCATCTTCCCCTAGGCTCTGGCCTTATTATCATGGTGCTCAAATCCCATCCTCCTCCCCCACCAATCCCAGATTCCTGCACTTTCTTGGGCCAGGCCCCTTCTCCCCCATCCCCCTTCCCTCCCTGGACCTTCAAGAGGGCAAGTGAGTGGCTCCTGTACTGTAGGAGTAGGTGTGGAAACAGAAATTTGGTATTGTACATGTAATGAACAAGAATGGAGGAAAAGGAAGACCTCTGGGCCATGCCCCCTCTGGCACCAGTTTTTAAAACACGGACATTAAAATGAAACAGCCTTTGGGGGAGTGAGGGTGATGATCTCTGTGCGATTGTCTATCTGGAATTTTGTTTTAGTTTTGTTGGCTGTTTCTTTTTTTCTCCTCTGGCTGAGGGGGGCCCTCCCACCCCTCCTTGCCCCCCCCCTCACTGCACTGCTGCTCTGCCCCAGGGCAGAGGCCTCTATCCCCCACCCCCTACTTTCGGTGAATTTGTGTGAAAATATTAATATTAAAAATAAATGCAGAAAAAACCGTTTTGATAATGGGATTGTGTTCGTGTACAATCTAAGCAGGCGGGTGGGATGGCGTGGGGGTGGGTCTAGTCTTGTGGTAACATAGTGGATGGGAGAGGCATGGCAGGAACAGAGATGGGGGTGGGGGGAAGGAAATCTGGATGGAGTAGGGGGGAATGGAGTTGAGCAGATAGTCGCTACATATACATCTTCCAGAAACATTTGTGGAATGTCCAGGGCTCCAGACTGCAACCTAAAAATGAGGGGGTGGAGGGGACTGATCCCAGAGCCACATTCCAGGATAAGTAAGGTGGGAGTGTGAGGGAGGAGAGGGTTGGGCCAGGGGGAGGGCAGGAAAGGGAGGATGACTGCTATATAATGGTCGGACACACAAGTCACCCAGCCAAGGTCTGGGTGCGATGGCAGAAGGCCCTAGGGCTCATCAGCCACCACCTTACAGTGGGGGTGGGGGCATTGAACCTCGAGACCCGCTGGACTGCTGGGCCTGTGCTGTTCTGGTCACAGCCCAGAATCTGCTTGTGGCGGTCTGCAACCTCCTGCTGCTGGGCGTGGTGTTAGGAACGGTACTGCTGCCAGCCATCGTCATGTTGGGCTTTGGCTTCCTCTGCCACTCAAAGGTAATTGCAAGCTCTGTCCTTGTAGCCTCTTTCCCGTCTTCCCCTGGATTCTGCCTTACTTTTCATTTGCTTAGTGGGGCAGGGGAGTAAGGTACAGAATTGAGCCAGAAAACCCCCAACTCTAGAGAAAGAAGCACCTGGCTAGTTGATCTTGGGCTAGATGCCTACGTTCAGAACAGAGATCTGTTAAGGAGAATGAGGGTTCTTTTGGGTTCATATTCCCACCTACTGATTTTTATCCCCAATCTGAATAATCTTAGGGATCCCACCCCCAACCTTAGAAATCTGATCTCTTATTGCAGCCTCCCACCCCCTATCCCTGGATACTGAAATCCAATACATGGTTCTTCATTTTAGAGATCCTGGTGTCTGGGTCCCCCACCTTATTCCACTTTTCCTCGTTCCTAGTTCCTGCGCTCTCAGGCGGCCCCCTGTACTGCCCACTTTCAGGACCCAGGATTCACAGTGTTGCTGGTAGTGGGTTTCCTGCTCCTGATGCCTTTGCTGATTCTCGCCTTAGCTGGTTACCGCCGCCTCTACTGCCGTCTCCGCCTTGCTGACTGCCTGGTACCCTATAGCCGGGCCATCTACCAGGATGTGGGACTCTCTCATCCCCCAACTCTAGGAGCCCCACAAGCATCCCAATCCCTTCCTACTGCTATTGGCAAGGTCTGGGTCTGAAAGGGCTCTCCTTTCCCCAATTCACGTAGGGTCCACCCTAACTCCCAACTTAAACCTCTAGGGGCCTGTGTTGTCTAAGGAGCAGCAGATATCCAGTCCCTACATCTGGACTAAAAACTCTAGAGATAAATTCCACATCTGAACCAGACTTAAAGGGAGATAGGGAATGTTTGGATTGGTCCCAATGGAAAACAGACTAAACACGAAAAACCCCATCTCTGGACAGCCTCTTTCCCTTCCCATGTGTACAGCTGAACTATCCTATGGCACATTTGAACATAGGGGCTAGGGCTCTTACTCTGAGTTTTGGAATATCTGGACCGAATCTCCCAAATGTTAATCCTATATTCAAGTTACTCTATGGGGCAGGAAAGCTGAATGTTACAAAGGATGAGCCATTAGGTGGTTCATGAATAAAAGATTAATGAATCAATCCGTCTGAAGTCTTTAGTTAGGAACATCACTTTCTTTCTTAAAGGTCTATAAAACCGGGCAACTTTAGCTCTGAGCAGGCGTGAATCGATCTCTGGAAGAACTTTTGTGGACAAGTAACCACTCCCTTTACTGTTTGCAGAAGCTGGGAAAATCAAGGGCTACCAAACAGACCTTCCACCCTTATCAGTAAGGTTTTCCTGGCCAGATCCTCCAAGCCAGTTCCTGGGGTTCAACCTTCCTCCCTTACTGCTGGCTTAGTAGATGGGAACTCCACCTCTGGCTCCCAACCCTTGCTCCCCTTGGGACCCAGGTGTCCCAGCCAAGAGTGTCGTCTATTCTCTAACCCCACTCAGGAAGGCCGGAGCTAGAAACAATGAGACATCCAGAACAGGATGGAGGGTCCCCACACCCTCCCATTTGGGTCACCTTAAGGCCTTGGGGTATGTGTGTATGCATATGGGAGAATGGAACAAACAGAGCAGCCACAGAAGGCAGGTGTGTGTTCCTGGGTTTTATTCTAGACAAACTGACTTCCACAACCTGGCTTTTTGGCAACCATACTGTCTGAAATTTCCCTTCCAAGGATCCTGTCCTACATCCTTCCCCATCAACCCACCCTTTTCCTGCTGAGACAATGTGGAGTCAGTGAGTGAAGAGACCAGCTTCACTTAGGGTCCTGTAATGAAGAGTAGAAATTCATTCCCCTTCTTTCTTAAGAAGCTTGGTACAGCCACATCTCCTAGGTGCTCAAGCCCAAAATAAAGTCAAAGTTGTTAATTCCATCATTTTACAGAAGAAACTAAGGCCCAGAAAAGCTGTAGCTTGTCCATGATCCCACACCAAATTAGTGGCAGAGTCAGGACTACATAATAGTACTTTCTCTATTCTTCCCAGCCAATTCCTCTTGGGTGGTAAAGGGAGGGAGTCGGAAAAAGGCTTATCTCATTGCTCTGGTTTCCCCGGACTATGTATTCTTTGTAATGAGCATTTCTGTATGGGTCCTTCAAAACTATAAGTTGGTTTTCTTCTCCATGGCCCAGAATCAGGGTCAGGAAGTTGCTGGCCTCCCAGCCACCCTCCCCACCCAAGTAGCACAAGGTCAATAGATCACAGGCTTTAATCAGAAGATGAATGAGGGAAGAAGACGAAGGCAAGACATATAATCACAGCTTCCCCGCTGGCATTTCATAGTGGGTGCTGAGGGCCAAGAGTCACAGATAGGGAGGGCAGGTCAGGCTCTCCCTTTGTACTTCAACAGAAACAATGTGGTGCCCAGGAACCATGGCCAGGCCCAGGACACGAGGCTCCCCAGCTGAGAAGGAATCTGAAAGAGAAATTGGGGGGATGTGAGGGGAGTGTCAGGGAATGTGCAAAGCTACACCTAGCTGGCAATCAGGAGACCCAGTTTTTAGCCCCGACTCTAAAACAAACTTGGTGTGACTTAGGCATCACCTATAGTCTTGGTAAAATGTGGTTAAAACCTACCCCATATAAAAGTCATAGCCAACATTTTCTCTAGAGTTCACCAAACACTTTTCTTACAACTAAGGGAGGTAGTGCAGATTTATCTCCATTTCTGGAGATAAACTGGGGCTTAGAAAAGTGATTTTCTTTTCTCAAGTCGGTCAAGTGACAAAATCAAGACCAGAACCCAGACCTCAGGCCTCCCAAATCAGGGTACTGCCCCCCGTACCCAGGCTGCCTCAGCCGCTCTTCTGGAGAGGAAGAGCCCGGGTTCGGGCAGGCAGTCGAGGGAAAGGGTCGGATTAAGACCCGAGGTTTACCAGGGACACCCTATTGACTGGCCCAGAAGAAACCCAGGCACGGGGTCACGAGCACGAGATCTGACCCGTGGGCTTGAGGAACTCCTGCGCGGAGCCCAGGATGACATTGCAGTCACGATCCGTGCACAGGAAGCAGCCCACGAGGGTGCGCCCGTCTGTCATGCGAATGCGCATGTTCTTGTTGAGCAGGCCCTCCAAGCGCCTGCGCGCACGAGCAGCCACCGCCGAGTCTTCGTGCTCCCCGTCAGAGTCCTGTAGCCCGGGGGGAGGGAGGACATAGCGTTCAGCTAGCCGGAAGATCCAGCAGAACTACATCTCCCAAGAGTCCCCACAGCCCAAGAGCACTGGAATGAGGAAAAGCTGCACCAAGGACTGCTGGGAGATTGTAGTTCTTGCCCTATCCTCCTCCCTACGCCTGTCCTCCCCTCGCTTTGCCCCCTCTCCCGATTCTGGTTGCCCCGCTGCTGACCCCAGCGCTGGAGCTGCTCTGGCGTCGGCTGCAGCAGCCGTTCTCCTCTCGAAGCAGTACGGTCGTCCCAGCTCCTGCCATCGGACTCCGGCAGCGGCTCTTCCTCTGGGGCCCCTCCTTGCTTTCTCCAGAAGCACTTAATGCGCTCAGCCTGAAATCTCGCGGGAACTAGAGCAAACGGAGGGGAGGGGGAAGGGCGTGTCTCTAAGAGGATTTAGTTCCATGCCCTCTTTTTTGTCGCGATACCACGCAAACCAATAGCTCGAGTCCTCGCGTCTCCTTGGCAACTTCCCGCTTCTCTAGAGCTCCACCTGCCTGAATAAATCAGGCATCAGAGCCTTGGCCCATCCTCCTTGTACTCCCAAAGTATCGCGAGAAAACCACTAATCTTGACCTGTCTGTCAACCCATCTCAAGAATTGCCTCACCTCCTGTTGCTCCACTTCGTGAGATTTGTACTTAGTCCCTAGGCTTGCTGTCTACTACGGACATGCTGTGGCAAACAGCTTCTGTTTGTATGTCCCACTCATTTCGTGTTTCTTGTTTCCTATCCCCATTAATCAGGAGCTCCATTTTTTGGGTTAGGGAGCCGGACTACGGTTCCCATGAAGCGGTGTTGCACAGCAACATTTCCTATCCTCCCAGCTTTCTCGGAAAGGCAAAGAGTCTTTCTTTCATTCTGGCCTGCCACTCCCGTGGACGGTGGCCTGCAAAGGACAATGGTTCCCATGTCAGCAGGAAAAAGCATTCCCCCTCCCCCAAGGGAGGAGCGGAGAAAAAGGGGAGCCCTGGGGTGGAGTGAGGTGGATAGTGGAAGCACCGAGGGTGCACCTAAGAGGAGGGTGCTGGAGGTAGAGGATAGTTTTCCGACTCCAAGAAAGGGGTGGTCACAGGAGTGGGGAGCAATGCTGGATATAGAAAATGATGAAATGTTTGAAAAGCCGACCCGGGGGCTTGTGGCCGGTCCGAACACGCGGTATTTTCAGCGACGCTATTTCAATATGGCCGAAGTGGCCAAACACAACACGGCCGACGACCTGTGGGTAACCTACCTGGGCAGTGTGTACAACCTCACCTCCCTGGCCAAGGAGTACAAAGGTGAGGCGTGGAGAGGTCGGGGGGAGAGGATGTTCCTGGGGCGGGGGGGGGGGAAGGAGGGGATATCGGGCTACTATTCCCCCCCCCTTCCTCCCCGCAGGGAGCGTGCTGATGAAGCCCATTCTGGAGGCAGCAGGACAGGACATAAGCCACTGGTTTGACCCCAGTACCGGAGAGGTGAGTGCCAGGGTCCCCTGGCTGGGGAGAGTGGGGTCGTGAGGAGAGGTTTAGAGCCTCCCGAACAGGGCGTGGAGGGGTTGATCAGAGCCTTTACTTCCCCGAAGATCCGAACGCACATAGACCCGCTGACTGGCTGCCGGAAGTATTACACCCCCAGGGGGCGCTTCGTGCACATCCCTCCGCAGCTGCCCCGCTCGGACTGGGCCAATGACTTTGGCCAGCCGTGGTGGAGGCGGACCGAGTATGAAGTGGGGCTGCTCTCCTACAAGACCCGGCTCATTCGCATCATCAACATGCTCACTTCTCAGGAGCAGACGCTGGAGGTGAGAAGCCAGGGGGTGGGAGGGTGGGAATGATCGGGAGGAAGCCCCCACCCCCAATAGGGAAGAGAAATCGAATCCTCCCATCAGACCCCCTAGGCTGGCTGAGTGCCAGCTGTCCTGGAGCTCTTTTCCCCCTTGCATATCTTCCAAGGTTAGGGAATTTGGGGCAGGGTACCTTCTCCAAAACATTCCTAAGATTCTTCCAGTATGCTGAAGGTAACTAGGACTGGTCTTTTCAGTGGCCACTCAGGCAATAGAATGTTGAGAACTGTGGTTCCATTTGCATGCTGGAAGTTGTAGTCGTGCTATAGACAAGAAAGTTGTCTTGAGCTACTAGATGATGATCTTTTAGGAACTCGATCCTTTGATTCTGGGAATGGGGAATGATGCTTCTGAGTTTTGTAGTTTACCAAATTAGTTTTTTGCTAGAGAAGTTTTAGTTGTGAAGATAAAGCCTAAAAGCTTCTATAGTCTGGAATGTGTCTCTTGAGACTGACTGTAGCATTCTAGGACTTGTAGGCCACTAAATCTGTTGCACATTAAGAATTCTAGCGTATCTCCTCAGACTTTTCTTTGCCTTAGCTGTGGTGGGGTTGCCTTTATGGGATTCTTCCAGAACTTTGGCTCTTTATCTAGGTGGGGGCACTGGAGACCATGTGGGAAATCCTACACCGATATCTCCCCTACAATGCTCATGCTGCCAGCTATACTTGGAAATTTAATGGTGTCAACCTCGATATGGACAAGACCCTGGAGCAAAATGGGATTGCAGATGAGGATGAAGAGTTCTACCGACTTAACATGGACCCAGAGCTGTACACACCTGCCTTGTTACTGTACTTCAATGATGACCTCACTGAACTATAAGGAGATACACATATAATATGTAGACTAGAGAGAGAACAGGGTGTATGGCTCAGTCTCTCTGACCTGGGGAAAAGGGGGAAGCCTAAATCTAGTTCTTCATCCCACTCTTGAACTCTTAATTCTTAGCCCCTGCTTTCCACCAAGGCCCCATATCCTGTGGGAACTCAGGAGTACTTAGCCTTCATTTTATATAACACACTGAGGATATTGGGATTTTTTTTTTAGTCAGGACCAGAGTAAGATTAAGTTCACCCAAGCACCTTCTTTAATAAGGTGAGAGCACAGGAAGATCAGGGGTCTTCTTTTTTCTCTCCTGTGAAGAGGTACAGAAGCAAGCATTAGGGAAGTGGTATAAGAATCTTCCCTCAAAGTGAAGCACAGAGGCAGAGCGAGGACTTTAGGAGGACTAGGGTACAATAAGAATTTAATCATCTGTGCCCATAACTGGCCTATCTCTTCCCAGGATAATAGCGGGAAAACACATAACCATGGGTTTGGGGAAAGTTCTTGAAGCACATTGAAACTGGGAAATCAACAAATATTTCTTGAGCACCTGCTTTTTGAAAGTCTCTGTGTTTGACATGGGTCACAGAGACAAAAATGAAACATCTTGTTCTCGAGCAGCTTACATTCTACTGAGTGTAAGAAAAACCACGTGTCTGACATCATCCATTGAGATTGGGTTTGTGCTCAGTGCAGCTAAATGTCATGCAGAAGTACTTACCTATTCCACTTATTCTACCACTACATCAAATATTGTATTCCTTCTGTCTCATACACTGAGATCAGGCTTTTGAGCAAAATCTTGGATGCATTCTGGGGCTATGCCTGTCTTGCACTGGGAACTGTTAGGCCCTGAGTGTAGTCAACCACCTGTTTTACTTGGGAGTCACTGTCAGGAAAAAGATTAGAGATGCCATTCAGAAGCCAGTGGGAGCTGGAGAAAGGAAAAGTTTCAGCTAAGCAGTGGATGTAGAAAGGAAACAAGCCCAGAAATCACTGGAGAAAACCTGCAAGCAACTTTCTACTCTCTTTTCATTTAGACTTTTCCTCCAGGGACATGGTGAAGTAGGTATTTTTCCTATTTTGGAGAAGGGTTGAATGAATGTTGAGAGTGAGGCCTTACAGACTGGGGAACATGCTACTGGGAAGGAGAAATACTAGAGAATGTGTTTAAGAATGGGAATGTGCCAGTAGGGGAGGGGGCACATGGGAAGCAAAAGTTGATTTAGAAGGAGATGGGAAAGCTAAGGGAGAGCCAAAGGTAGTTCTAAAATGTACAGAAATGTCTTCTTTGTAAGCTTTCGAAGAGTGAGTCAAAGTAATTGGGATAAGGCAACTCAACCCATGGCCAACTAAAAGTCAAGAGTGGAGGGTATCTAGTTGACCCAAAGGAGCTTCAAGGTAAAATGAGATAGAGTGGACTTCTTCCCAGAGTGGGAGATTAGTATCTTCTCTCCATATGAGAGACAGGCAAGGAATGGGTTGGTATAGAAGCATGAAGAGAGCTAGTTCAGCTCATGTCAGAGCTAGATAGGAGTTTTAAACATTTTTTTTTTTCCCTTTGGGCCAGGGGATGGGGTTGTGTTCAGGGAGGTAGAGTAAATAAAGATGTCTGTATTGTCCTCAGCAATCTCTTTCATACTCAGCAATATTGTAGAATCTATTCTCAGCTCAGCAGAAGCACTTAATCTATGCTACTCATTCCATCACTTCATCAAATACTATATTCCTTACATATTTTATGTATATCTGCTGTTAACTAAACTGTAGGATCCTCAAGGGTAGAGACTAGATTGGACTAGATTATTTATCATTTTGTATCCCACCTACCCCCCCATACCACCTAACAGTTCTGAACACACAATAACTATTGTGGGCTGGGCAGGTAGTTTAGTTCTGAAATCTGAACAAATGAAACATGCATGAAATCCATCTAAAAGTTAACAAAAGGAGATTTATTTAGCCATGGTAGGGAAAGGACATTTAAAGCAGTGAAGGGATGTTCAGGATATAGCATTGATGCAGTTGAGCATAGCCTTTCTGTGTCAGTGTTTATCCTGCTAGCCTTTGGTCAAACAACTGAGCGGGGAGCTCCAGCCTCTACAGTCCTGGCTGTTTTGTTTCCAGGGAATAGGAATAGATCAAGTCTTAGTGTTGTTCAATTGTTGTCAACTCTGCATAACCCTATTTAGGGTTTTCTTGGCAAAGATACTGGTGTGGTTTGCCATTTCCATCTCCAGCACATTTTACAGATGAGAAAACTGAGGCAAACAGGGTTAAGTGACTGGCCCAGGGTCACAGAGCTAGTAAATGTTAAGCCAGATTTGAAGTTGAATCTTCCCGATTCCAGGCACAGAGCTCTAGCTACTTCACCACTTAGCTGCCTTATGTCTTAGTACCCTGAGTCAATCAAATCTAGAGGACAGTTTCAGTACCTTTTAATGAAAACTAGCTTAACTTGCCTAGGAAGTGGAGGCCTTAGAATATTGCTCTTACTATGGTGCTAAATAAATACTTTCTAATGAATGAATTTTTGTATGAATTAGGAATTGGAGAAATGGAGGTAAGATTGGGGAATGCACACACATGGATCCTCTTTTCCAACGTACCTTCTAATTTCTTCTGCTTATGTTTCTTCACCACAGTCACCACCATCCTTCCCCCAAAACAAAACAAACCATGGTCGAATCCTACAGTGAACTTCTAGGGCTAACCTGCATGTCATTGCTTTTCTATGGCCACCAGATGGAGACTGTCTCCTTTGGGGCTGGCAGAAGGCGAAACAAGAATCCTACCAATAGCTCAATAGGGTAACTTTTATAGGTGGGATGCAGAGACAGGAAAACAAAATCAATGTGTACATTGGGGGCTCAGAGAAGAGGAAGTTTGGACATAAGATGAGGAAAAGGGGGAGGATAGTTCAGAAAGATACTAAGGCTTACGGGAAATAGAATCTAAAATGGATGAATTAAAAAAAATTATTGAATGCCCATGGCACCATACTAAGAGTTATAGAAGATGAAAAGATTAAAAACCAACAGTCTCATTGTGAAAAACAAGATATATGTACTATGGGAAAGGGTACTGGATTTAATTTCTGCCTTTGGGTTACCTTAAGTAAGTTACAACCTCTTTAGCCTCAGTTTCGTCATGTAAAATGAGGGGGCTGAATTATATGATCTAAGTTTTCTTCCAGCTGCAAATCTGTCATGATGTGGGAAAACAATAAATAATGCATATCGAATAAATGAAATCTGTCACATGTGGGGAAATGAAATAAGAGGCAACAAGTTGTTAAATGACAAATGAGCAGTACAAACTGAGTTTTCAAATTTAATTAGTTGTCATACCTCCTGCAAAGATCATTCTCTGGCGGAAGGTGGTATCAGGCCCAGGGAAGCTACCACTAGGAAGGGAGATGAGTGAGAAGACAAATTGAGGTCCTTGGAAGTCCACACCAACAGCACCAAGGTATTGGAGAGTACTCATTGGGAAAGAAGGCAAACTCCTTGTGTTTAAGGATTGTTTCATTCATCCCTAGTGCCCAAGTCCAGAGTAGTAATCTGATAAATGATTGCCAACTGATTGATAGGTTTTTACATTTTAGGAGGAAGTCCCTTGCACCCCAATGAAGCTGTAAGAATGGATTCTGCAACCATGGGAAATAACCTAAAGGATAACAGCCTTTGAATTGAGGGAAAAACAAGAATGGGAAGAAAGTTTAAGGTAGAGCTACAGGGGTAACCCCACCCTAAATTACAGATCTTTAGCCTTTGTAGAATGTATTTTTTTTCCTTTCCAAATGACACTGGTTATCCATTAGCATATTATGGGAGCATAGATTTGCAGTTGGAAGGTACCTTTTAAGTCATCTAGTCCAATCTCTTATAAGAGTTGAGAAAACTGAGGCCCACAGAAATTGAATAATTTGCCCAAGGTATCACAGGTAGTAAGTGGCAAAGATCCAAGAGAAGAGAGACAAAGACTGGTATAGAAATACTGATGAAGCCTCCCTCTCTTGTAATCATGCCTGTGGGTGAGGGGGATTGGTAAATAATAGCATTTTTCTGTGAATTTTTGTTAAAAGAATTCAGTTTTCCCATTGATCTCCATTATAAAATGAGATACCTTCTTCAATGGAAAATACAATCTTCAAGGGAGCAGCTAGGTGGCGCAGTGGATACAGCACTGGCCCTGGAGTCAGGAGGACCTGAGTTCAAATGCGGAGTCAGACACATAACACTTACTAGCTGTGTGACCCTGGGCAAGTCCAACCAAAAAAAAAAAAACCAAAACAAGAGAATATAACCTTCAGAATGTTAAAATGGGGCAAGTTTTTGAAAATTAATGTTTATTCAAAATAATGTTGGTACTTCTATGAAGCTGTAATTTCGTCAGTGTGGGTGCTTTCACCTACATAGATCAAAACCCAACCATGCCTACATATCTTGTGTGACTCTAGTCCACTCCTTTAAATACAAAAAAGGGTACACCTAGTATGAAAAATAAATCACAAAATGAAAATATTTAAGTGAAAACAGTTATCAGTAACTCTAGCAGTATACCTACCTTACCCTGCCTTAAAAGGCCTATCTCCTTATCCACTCATACATTTCCTATATGATATTCCTCTTATTATTTCTGGTATGTAAGTTATTATTGAAAATAAGTTCTAGCCTACTTGCATTTTTTCATTGCCCTTTGAATCACTGCAATTTTGATTCTTCAGAAATAGTGGTGGTCCAGGATTCACAACCATTCACAAGTACTGCTGGGAGAATATCTGTGCTAAAAAGATGGTTCTTTTATATAGCTGATTCAAATGAATTAAGCAGAACCAGGAAAATAATACCTATGACAATGTAAATGGAAAAGACCTTCTCCCCACAATGAAACTGAATGCTATGTAATTATATCAAGTCTGACCCCAGAAAAGACAAGAAAATGTACCTCTTTCTCTTCTTCGCAGAGGTGGAAGACTAGGATATGAAACATTGCCAGATTTGATTGATGTGTTAGTTTTGATTAGTAATTCACTGGGCAGGGGAAAAGGGAATGACATATTTGGAAATGAAGTGACATAAAAGTGAAAGATATCAATAAAAATTTTCAAAGGTGGGTTTCTACACTAGGGAGCCTTGAAAGCATTGCACAATTTGCCAAATGCAATCTAGCTCACTTACTTTTTCCTGGTTCAGTCAACTGCCCATCTGCAGTGCCTGAACTAATATGTACTGATGAACTAACTCAGTAGATTGGCCATCCAACCTCATACACAGAACCACAAATTTAGCACTGTTAAGGTACCTTAGACATCAACCCTCCTCATATTACAGATGAGTAAAATGAAGACAAGAGAAATTACATGATTTCCCAAAGTCATACAGGTACGGCCACTGTTTAAACCTGGGACTTCTGACTCTAAATCAAACACTGCTACATCATGCTACCTCTAGATAATAAGCATTTTTCATCCACTTAGTTTTTCTTATATGGATTGTTAGGCTGATCTTTTTTGAGTAATCAGATCTCATTTAAGAAGGCTCTGTAACATGGGCAACCTATATCATATTGCATGCCTTTTCAGTGTGGTGGGGGGAGGGAGAGAGAGAATCTGGAACCCCAAAATTAAAAAAAAAAGACTGTTGAACATTTTTACATGCAATTGAAGAAAAATAAAATACTAATTAAAAAAAAGGGCTCTGCAACATGTACAATGCAATCAGTACAATCATCTTCAAAAAGACCTTTACCACCTATAGGGAATCCCATTGCTATATGGACCTCGTCTATGACATTTGCAAACAGCTTTCGTGAGCATATATTTTGTTTTATACTTTGTTTGACAATAATCAGGAGGATTACATCTGTGATTATATTTATCCAAGAATCTTGCAGTAGGATTGTAATACTTGGCTCCTGGGCTGCCATAAGAGATGCCAGATCCCCAAAATGACTGATGAATAAGACACTATCCCAGAGCTCATCAGTTTAGTGACTGTTTCTGAATTTGCCTTTCTGAGACTAGTGGGACAGAGAAACAGCTATTTCATCTTGTGCACAGGATATGTGGGAGGAAGTGTGGGAAGCAGGATCAAAAGGTGTGTGATCTCTTGGTGCCTGACCCCCTGCCCGAGACTTCATGACTTGCTGTTGGGCAATAGTTATCAGAATTCCTATAAATATATACCATAATATATATGTGTCAGGGTGGGAAGATGATCCCTCCAAAATAAAAAGGCAAGAAGATAGCCTCCATGTATAACAAGGTTGACCTAACCATACTGAGCTTTATCCAGGGGGTATGTTTTTATATTTCCTTATTATGTAATGAAACTTCACCATATTAATCAGCTGAGCTCAGAGTCCTCACCAGTTCATTGCATACTATTTTTAAACTTGAGAAACATTTTTTTCCAATAGGATTTGCTGTCAGACCCATCCTAATTCCAGTCCATTTAGGGGAGGAATAGATAGGAAAGACAGAGATGTCCCCCCACATCCAGGCAAAGTGGCCAGTGCCCATTTTTGTTGTTTACCACCCCCATCATAGCATGTGTGTCCTTTGATTATAAATAAAATCTGGAAGCTGCCTACACCCTTGTATAGTTAATATCTGTGCTAAC